TGCCCACCGCACATACCTAGGAAACAATGGAATTGATTTTTAATTTTTTCCCCCCAAAAAGAGATAGTCTTAACAAATGAGCTCCATCAGAAGTAAAAGTTACTGATTTAGTTTTTTTTTAAAAAATTCTAAATGAATTACCTTTCTAAAATCTGCCCACCTCTTTTATCAAATACACAAATCAAATATACACCATCATGGCATAAAAACAATTTTCAAGTTATATTAGATTACCATTAAATATTTCCTAAAGTCCCTTAGAATTTAGTTTACTTTCTTTCTTATTTTTACTATTTTATTTGTCTTCATCTTAATGGTTTAGAAATAAAGTCTTCATCTGAACTATGGACAGTAAAACTAATTTGCAATAAAACAATAAAAATGGGTCCATGCAGCAGTCCTCAACCTTTACATAATGCCTCCTGTTTTTCACAAAGAGAGCAAACTCCTATTGGTAATGCTTTTCGTTATAAGCAGATATTCTTCAAGGAAGAATAGTTAAGTAGGACTCACTTCCACCTGTACCCAATGCTGGGTGTATTCTAGTAGTACCAGCTAATTGTTAAGATTCTGTAAAATAATTGGCTGAAGTCTCAATTCTGTGAATGGTCAAATAACTTCTCTAGAGGGGAGGCAAATGGTTAAAAGGGGGAAAAAAATCACATCACCAAAAAAGGGAACCCATTACTGCTCTTATCCTGATATCTCAATCTTATTTTGGCACTTTTGAACAAAAAAAAAGAGTTGAACTTCCAGAAAACTGTTGTTGTTTTTCAAGCCATACTCAGATCATTTGAGGTGAAGAAGGAAAAGCATAGAGAAGACAAAGCGAATAAGGGAAAGTAAAGAAATACAGTACTTACAGTATTTCAGTGAATTACGTGGCAGTAAGCTGGAGTCCTTTTACAGAGACTTGACAAAATTAGAAACTCTGAGCCATTTCTGGCCCACCAACTAAGTTATTACAGAGTAGATACGGCCATCTTTTACCAAAAAAAAAAAAAAAAGTTTAAGTAAAGTTAAATTTAGTAAGTCCTGCTTTCTATTATCAGAGTGAAAAGAGCTAAGATTCCTTAATGTGGGGCAGGGTGGTGGTAATGTAGGAAATCCTTTATTAATTTAGTGGGAAATGCCTACTGATATTCAGAACTACTGAGATTCCTTCCCCCCTTAATTCAATAATGCTAAGGATTTTAAGGAAATATTTTGTGAAAAGTAACACAGCCCTCTTAGTATCAATAATTTCAAAACCCAGCAATATAATGAATTAATCACTCTTTATTTTTTATTTATTTATTTTTGAGATAGACTCTCGCTCTGTCACCCAGACTGGAACACAGTAGCATGATCTCAGCTCACTGCAGCCTTGACCTCCTGGGTTCAATCACCCCCCGACCCCCACCCCGCCGCCACAGCCTCCAAAGTAGCTGTGATTGCGGGCGCATGCAACCACACCAGGCTAGTTTTTGTACTTTTTCTAGAGACAAGATTTTGCCATGTTGTCCAGGTTGGTCTTGAACTCCTGGGCTCAAGCAATCCACCTCATGCCTCATCCTCACAAAGTGCTGGGATTACAGGTATGACTCACCATGCCTGGCCTTTAATTTTTTTTTTTTTAACACATTTCTGAAGATTTCTGTAAAGTAGCTAATTTCAAAAACTCAAGCAGGTTTAAGAAGCAATCTGTAAGTCAACGGAGTGTGTGTTTTATGTGTGTGTACATATATAGAGATAAACATATGTGCATATATATGGTATATAATGGGCTATGAAATCCAACATCTTAGGAACAAACTGAAATTGCTGTTAACAAGGGAAAAATAGGAAGATATTTATTCAAGAAAGGAGGTCAACAAATTTCTAAAAATTCTTCATTTTAAAGAGAATACATGACTTTGGCATTTCGTTATTTTTTAGCAGCGGATAGTAACTTTTTTTTATTGACACAATAACAGGTAGAATGTGCATTCAGGGCTACCATGAAACCATTCTAGGCAATGTATCTCGTAGTCTTGTTGCTGTTCCATGCATTTTCAGAGGAAAATCACACACTACAAAACTCAAGTCACTTCCTCCTTGCCCCCCACACAGGACACTGCATGGTATAAGGCAGCCAGAAAGAATGCTGTGTTTCACCTCTGAGCAGAAGTAATTGGAGACATGATTTCAGGGTTTCTGTGCAGAGGGAGGGAATGAAGCAATTAGTTGTAATGCTACGGGCAAAAAGAGTGGGTGCTCTCATCCCAGTGCCAACTCCAAGGCTAGAGGCCAACCCCTCACTGCCGTATTTGCCCTCTTGAATTGGGAGAGTATGGGATTCACATGCCTGAGTGTATGTATTTTGAGCTGTATACAGATATCGCCCTGTTGTGGGAAAAGACAGGTTAAGGTGATAATTGTAAGGGAAAGCATGAGAATTCATTTTGCTAAGGCCTGAGAAGCACGAAAATTAATATCCCAGAAACCTAGAATTTTTAATGATACAGTAGGAAAAGCACAGTCTGGTGTAATAGAAACATCCTATTCAACTTGGGTGAAAAATGACATTCTTCAAAGTCTTTTGAAACAATCACTGGCCAGGAATAATTTATGTTGTTCAAGAAGCAAAAAACATTGCTTTTCCCTTTATACTACTAACGTAATATGCACGTGGACACGGATAGATAAAACAAACTCTGGTGACACCCTTAACTTTTATACTTACAGGCTACCATAGTAGATAGATGATGACAATACAAGATGGCTTTGGCCAAAATGAGAGTGAATGAATGAAATGTCCTTTGTTTAATGACTGGCCTCCCCTTTAGTGTTCATCTATGGTCCATTTTACTTTTAACATGTATTATTTAGAAAGGCTTCAATATTTTCTCTTTACTTTTCAAAATATGTCTGTAAAGTAGGTACTATTAATCCTATTTTACAGACAAGAAAACTGAAGTTCAAAGATATTAACATGTCATAAAGTGGCAGGCCAGGATTTCACCTCAGAACAGTCTACACCCATACTGCCTCCAATGCTCTTAGATTCTTGATGGGTTTAGTACATAAGCTCTATACCTATTACCTAGCAAAATCAATACTTCTTCAGAGAAAAAAGGATATTTCAGAAGTGTTATGGGCTTAACTGTGTTCCCCCAAAATTCCTAAGTTGAAATCATAACCCCTACTATCTCAGAATGTAATTATTTTTAAATATAGGGTCTTTAAAGAGGTGATTAAGTTAAAATGAGACCCTTAAGGTGGGCCCTAATCAATCTGACCAGTGTCCACAGAAGAAGAAATCTGGATGCACAAGACCACACCAGGGGCTGGGCACAGTGATTCACACCTGTAATCCCAGCACTCTGGGAGGCTGAGGTGGGCGGATCACAAGGTCAGGAGCTTGAGACCATCCTGGCCAACCTGGTGAAATCCCATCTCTACTAGAAATATAAAACGTAGCCAGGCATGGCGGCACATACCTATAATCCCAGATACTGAGAAGGCTGAGGAAGGAGAATTGCTCGAACCCGGCAGGTGGAGGTTGCAAATACCAGGGCATGCACTCACAGAGAAGAGACCATGTGAGGGCAGCCATCTACAGACCAGGAGAGGCCTCAGAATGAAACCAGCCCTGCCAACACTTTGATCTTGGAATTCTAGCCTCCAGAGCTTTGAGGATAGAAATTTCTGCTGTCTAAGCCACCCAGACTGTAGTATTTGTTATGGCAGCCCTAGCAAACTAATACAGGAAGAGAGACAAAAATCACTGAATGTACTAACATAGAGACTTCAGAAGTAGCAGCTCGTCTGTTGTTCAAGTCTGGATTGAGAATTCTTACTGATTTGGGCCTTGCTGTTAATAAGGCAGGAAAGCATTTCATCCCTGGGGACATGAAGGATTACAGGACTGTGGCTGCATGGTAGACACATACTCCTTCCCAGGTATTCCTCAGACTACTCTCTCTCACACAATAACATGGCTGAAACGTCCCCGCAACTCCATCACACACGCCCTCACTAGCAAGGTACATGATACATTAAGAGCATTTCGAGGCATGGCCCAGTGTTGTTACCTCAGATCTTGCTAGAATAACATGACATTTATAAAAATACAACCCATTGGATGTTTGGCACTGCTTGGGAATAAAGACTATATCCACTTAAGAGCCAATACCCAGGGCTCTCAAAAAATCTCAAGCCAGGATTTCTTTTTATAAACATTACCTATCTTTTTAAATTCTACAGTCTGGGAGGTGGGAAAAAAAATCTGCTTATTTCCAAGTCTCCTTTTGCTTAAACAGAATAAATATAAACCATACGCAAGAATATGCTGGAAGCTCAGTCAAGGCACATTGACAGAACGGCTCTGTGCACCTAGCAAAAAGCCTCGAGACTCACGTCCTTCGCATGGGGTCTCCCCACCCCAGCACACACCTACACAGAGCTCACACTCTACCTACGTCAACTACCTCCAATCCCCACGCACACTGAAAGGGAGCATTTACAGGTTAAATTTTCAGATACCAGCCAGATAATGTTCCCGTTCACTCTCTCGTCCACCTTAGACCATGCAACATTTAACATCTAGAAGGATAAACTCAGCCCCTAGCACATGTGACAAGGGTGAGCAGTCATTGAGGAGTTCTCAAGCAAGGAGGATTTGCCAGCTTCCCTCTCAGGTCCAGGACCTGAAAGGCCAACTGTGGTATGTTTGAGTTTCCATCAGGCCTGGTGCTTGCTAGCTGCGGCTATGTTCAGTAAGAACCCCACAGCCCAAATGTCCTATAAACATCTCGGCCTTCGGCTGAGAGCTGCTTGCCTAGCACTGCTTCTTGGAGCTGAGAATATTCTGTTTGAGAGCCACAAGCTGAATCTTAACTAACACTTGGAGCACAGCTGACCTCTCTCTCTTCTCCAGCTCAGTGACTGCTCTAACACAAACACACACACACACACACACACACACATACACACACGAACATAATAAGAACGGGAAGAAAAGCCCAGATTTTCCTCACCATGTGCCACCCAGCCATGTTTACAATGATCACAAGTCCTCAGGTTAATCTTCCCTGGCTGAAAACATTCACACGTGCAGTTTACCAGTGTGCAACGGATGGCCTGAAAAATAAAGAAGGGAAAAAAGATCAGCATCTGTTCAAAGATACTATACTCTTTTCACCATTTTAATAAATAATGCCCACTTCCATTTTTAAAGCCTTTATGATGGTAGGAGCCTAGAGAATTTAAAAAATAAATTTAGATATCACCAAAATCTCTTACAAAAGCAGGTAAATAAAACAAACAAAATTCACTCACTAATATAATGTTTTAGGACATTCATGGTAACCTTTAAGTTAGAAACTTTGAATAAAAATAAACGCTGGTATATTCTGAAAGATACTGGATTTATAACATCACAAATCCAAAAGAGAAAAAAGTAGATTGTTGCTAATATATATTTCCACTTAAATTTTTCCACTTGTCAATAAAGCAAAAAATAAATTGTAACAAATTAATATTCAAGTGAAATGTTTATGAAAGTAAAATATGGCACACAAATATTATTATTAGAATATTACTTTTCTTCTGCTGAACTTCAATTAAATGTTGTGCTAAACTATGAAATATATTTTAAAGACACTCCTGTGCCCTGTAAGACCTAATGTATTTCTGTTATTGTTTATCACATCCCAATTCCTTGAGTATTTTATTAATTCTTTTTTCGTTCCTGTTTTGAAAAATACAAAACAAGCCTCCTCTTATTTCAACAGTGACATAAGAAAGTTTAAATTTCGGTTTTAGATGTGACATGAAACAAAAAAATTACTTTATGTGAACATTTTATATCTGGAATAGTACAACTATATTGTAGAAAACCGAAAAACACACTGATCTTTCCTTTCCTTATAATTACTTTTAAAAAACCATCTCACTAGTTAATATTATAAAGTGAATCCATAGTTAAATTAGCATAAATGGAGTGTAACTTTTTATGAATAAAAATCCATGCTTAAGAATTGTGCTGAAGCTGACCTATGCTCTCAGACTACAGTTAATAAATTTATCTCATACAGTTAATTCTAATTTGCATGGAAATTCTGAAGACAGAAGGGATTTAGTCTGATCATTCGCAGATTAACAATCTACTGTAACTACTTGAACTGCCAGGAAAAGATCTCTCTGCAGATTTAGATGCAATCAATGATTACTGATTCTGGGGTGGAGGGGTGGGCATGGGGATACCTGAAACTGCAGCTCTGTGCCTGAAAGCCATGCTCACTTACACAGCTCCAGATGCTCATATTTCTGGAACCATTTGGATTTTTATATAAACTGTCTCATTTGTAACAGGTAGTATTTTAGATATTGTTAACGTGATTGGGACAAATTCTATTTACAGAGAATAAGACTGAGCAGGCTTCTACCATTCCCTGTGCTTTGGATCAGGCAAGTGTAAAGTATTTCTCTTCTATTAATTAACATTAAATCTATGGACCCCTATTTGGTTTCAGATGTTGCAATCCTCACTGTAGACTCAATTCATACTTTACCGGCATCCTTAATGTGTGCTTCTATTTAACACTAGGGAAATATTTAATTGTATAATCTCCCTGATATTTCAGGATCTCTCTTCCACATATGGTCCAATTGCAACTAGGTTGTAAACTTTGTTGTATGTAGAAGTGATTAAAGAAATTTGTAGACTATAAGGAGAAATATTTCTTCCAATCTCAGCTACTCAGGAGGCTGAAACAGGAGAGTAGCTTGAACCCGGGAGGCGGAGGTTGCAATGAGCTGAGATCGCATCACTGCACTCCAGCCTGGGTGACAGAGCAAGACTCTGTCTCGAGGAAAAAAAAAGTTCTTATTTCTATTTCAATAATTTATTGACTGAGAAATATCAGAACATCCCAAGCTAGAAACAGTTTATTTAAATACATGTTCATTAGTTAATGAACTCACAACTACATTGTACTGTGACCAAAATAAAAAGAGCTTAGAGGACAGCGTTTCCACTAAAAACAAGGAACTTTACAAATTATCTAATAATAAATTCAGATATGGGAACTGTTTTAATGTCAAATGAAATGCAATAATAAAAGCTTTCATAAATGCTTTTTAAAAAATACCTCTGTTTTACCAAAATCAAGGGAGGGCCAGTAAAATGAGATGATATTTCAAGGACAGTTAATATAAACTCCAGCATAAAAGACATAAATACTTAAATAATTAATTTGATAGTATTTAATTATTTTATGAAAATATCGTAATTTTGTATTGTCTTTAAAGCATACTTTCATCAACTTTAATTACAGCCATATTCAAGACCAGAGCAAATTAAGAGACTGTGTATTTTATTTTTATGCTTATTTATTTTTTTTACTGGTTGAATCATTCATTCACTTACTCTGAACTAGCTTAGGATTCAAATATTTTGCCTTCCTAAATAACTTTATACATCTGGTACATTTGGGAATTCAACTTTTTAGATCATCATTTCTTTTTACGAATTCTATTCTTTTTGTACCTAAACATACAAACACTGGAACACCTCAACTCCTTTTGTATATAAACACTTAAGCACTAGAATATCCATTTTGTATTTCTATGAATTCCAGAAGGTCTATTTGTTTTAAATTCAGATTTATATAGACTACAATTGTCCCTTAAGGGAATTATATATATTTAAACAATATGGTCTAAATAAATATTTTGAGTAAGAGACTATTGTGGCTTCAAAGGAAATTTTATTCTAAATAACATTTTTGAAACAGCATAAAACTTTGACATACTATTTATTCACAACAAAAAAGAACCAATGTGATCACTGGCCAACTCACCCACATGCAAAAACATAAATTATCATAAAACTATCAAAGCCAGTTAAACATCAAAAATCTATGTGCATTACAAGGAGACAGTTGGGAAGAGTCAAAATGAAGACTCTTTCATTCTTGTGAGCATGTTCACTGCTGCCTCCATTCAGCTAATGTCTGAGTGCCTCCAACCCTCTTCTGGGCAGTTGGGACAAGACTAAGCTGCATGTGTTACATTCTGTGAACTATACACTTTGAAAATGCAGGTATGCAGAAAAGAGCAGACAGTTCAGTCAGACTGTTCCCACCTATCTACGCAGAGATTAGTATTCAGGTCTGGGTAAAGGAGGCCTGCAGGACCCAGCCTAACAAGGGCGCCAGGGTGCCCTGTAACTCTTTCCTCAATTTCCATTATTGGAAACTGTCTGCTCTTTTCTTCATACCTACATTTTCAAAGTTGGTAGTTCACAGAATGTACCACATACAGCTTGATCTTGGTCTGAGTGTGCAAAAGAGGGTTGGAGGCACTCAGACATGGGCTGAAGGGAGGCAGCAGTGAACATGCTCAGCATACCCACAACTCCACAAGAACACCCATAACAACAGCCATAAATTTTCTTAAGTCTGCAATGTATTAAAAGTAATTATTCCTTCTGCTTACCTTTACCATTGACTTCCTGAAAGAGAAATCCATGCACCCAGCAACCAGTGCTTCCACTTCCTCACCACCACCTACATTTTAACTTCACAATCTGGGTTCTGCCCTATACGTGCCTGAAACTGTCTCTCTGAGAGGCGATGTTCTCATCCCATCTGGTGCTTTTTTCTAGTCTCCTTGTCCTCCCAGACTTTGATGCAGCTTGCAGCACTAACTCTCCTTCGTTCCTGGGCTGTAGAGACTGATTATCCTAGCTTTTCTGGCAGCAGCTACTCTCTCCTCTCTCTCTCTCTCTCTCCACTGTAAATAAATACAGGTGTTTCCCATGGCCAAGCTCTTCATTCTTTAATTTGGCAATTTCATGCCCTCCTGCAGCTTCAAATAGCATCACTATGCAAAAACCATCACTTTGGAGCCAGGCACTGCCTCTTAAGTGGTGGGAAGTGGATGGCACTGTCCCTGTGCTCAAGGACTTGATAGTTTGGGGTTATGGGGCAGTGGGTTTAGAGGAGAGACCCTAACTAAGAACATAAAGGAAACCCTTACATAGACTGAAGAACGATTCCTCCTCGTTATTCCACTGTCCTTTCCTCTACCAAACCTCAGGATTTTAATTTATTTACAATAGTAAATTATTACCTGTTATAATTAATAATAGCTAGATTTATTGAATATGTACCATTTTCCAGACATTGCGCTAGAGAGTTTACAAACATAAGCCTTCTTAGTTCTCAGAAAATGGCATAAAATTGTTACTATCATTACTTTTATTTCACAGAGAGGAAACTAAGGTAGAGATAATTTACCACATTACCTAAAGTCACTCAACTAGCAAAGTCACAGATCTAGAAATCAGAACCAACTCTCCATCCCACTGACTAGGAATCTTCTCCCCCTGCCCAAAGACGGAGTCTAGCTCTGTCACCCAGGCTATAGTACAGTGGTGAGATCATGGCTCATTGCAGCCTTGACCTTTCAGGTTCAAGCAATCCTCCCACCTTAGCCTCCCGATTAGCTGGGACTACAGGCATGCACATCACGTTGAGCTAAGAATCTTGAGTTACGATTCCATTCACAGTCATGGGCACAGTTTTCACTGATATTCTGCCTTCCTACAGAACTTATCTATCCCTTCCTTTCTTGTCTTCTACTCTCACTGTTACTACCATAATTCTAGTCTCTTTTTTTCTAGACGATTCAAACCGTCTCCTAATTAACTTTCGCATTTCTCTTCTCTCCCCACCTCTAAGAACATTCTGTCTTCTTAAGAGATCCACATGGTTGATCATTTTGTATTACATTTGCTTGACTGAGGTTATTTTCACCCTCCTGTCAGATTCTGCCTACTAGAGTAAAAACAGTGGCTGTCCATCCTCCTTGGTTAGACACAGCGGACTCCTCTGTTATCCAAATTCTCAATGCCTATTTCTCTAACACCATGCTCTGGACCTTCCCTCCTTCCATGTCCCGCTTAAGTTGTTAATTCCTACTCATTCTTCAGATTTCAAGTATTACTCATTCCCCAGGGCCGCTTCCCTGTCTCCTATTCAAGACTAGTTCCCCATTAGACTTCTGTGTCATAATGGATCTGTCAGAGTACTTAGTACAGGTTGTGAATATTATATTTATTTTGTGATTATCTG